AATAAAAGTGCATTATAATTAAAACAAGAAATTGACATACGAACTCCTGTAAACTTCTATTGCTGTTCGGCTGTACTTTTTCGAGAAATTCAAGCACAAAATACGTATATCGATCGATTATGTACACTCCTATCGCTCTGTCGACATGGTGCTGAAAGAGTGACGATTATCAGGCGTCGACAGGCTCAAAGACAAGACAGGCTTACCGATAGGGAGTCTTCGCCTACGAGACTACTTCCGACAGCAAGAACGTTAGGGCTGTAGATCTTGAAGTACATCGATGCCGCCTGGCAAGTGTCCACAACCAGAAATAATTCATGATATCTGTTAAAAATGAACGCACTTTACGTAAGACGTCACTGATGCTGAAAAGCACGAATCTTTTTCTCCCGGTAGGTTTTAAACTCGATATCGTTTCATCATTCATTCGACTTGCCCTTGTTCGTGGTGGCATCGTGAACACAAGTCGACGTTCTTCCAATCCCTTCCAACCTCATTGTTGGCCGTGTAATTTGATTAGAGGGTTGTAACAGTTTGGGGAGGAGCAGTGGAGAGGAGAGCTGTATTATGATCTTCGAATATGCAATTTATCTATTACTGTAAATAGAGAGTAGTTATTTTTTACGTTAACAGCTTCACCCTTCGGTATGATTTGTTATCTTTTATGCATAGCAAGAAGACCCTATAGCATACAGATACAAAACAGAAAATGATGCTCACTGCAGTTTCTGTCAACGCTGTTTGGAATGCCGGTACTTCATCAATCAAATCAGTAGCCTTTCTCTCATTTAATGAGTGACTGTTTCTCAGAACATGACAATAGCTTGGCTGTATCATCCTGTTGGACTGATATCGAACGCTTACTTACCGGTTCTTGCTCCACATTTGAGCAATAGCATCGGCGAGGTCTACGTCCGTGATCTCTTCAGAGTCTTGAAACTTCAGAAAGCCTTCTCCACCGTGACCTACATCGGACCAGTACAGAAATGGTGGTGTGCAAATCCGCAAGTACAGACCTGTCATGTAAATTAATATGTTACTGGTGTGATCAGAAAGCAGACGCTTGCTTCGCGAACTCTCGTAAGGAACGCGTCCCGTGAGAACACGTATAAAGTTCTCGACCGTCACCTCATAGCCGCGGTAATCAACTTCCACGTCCTCGCCGTACAAATTGATGTGCTCCTGTGCGTTATTATAAACAGTACCTAAAATAGCGCTGCCAATAAAACTTAACCGTAGAA